TTCCTTGGTTACCGCTGTAAACAAAGCAGCGCTGCGCTTATGAACAGCAATGATACAGTGTTTCCTTGGTTACCGCTTATGAACACAAATATGCATTGTTCAGAGGCAAGATGAAAAGAAAATACCACGTAAACTTTTCTAAAGACAGTCAGTTCCCTTCAGAGATACATTCACATAAACTCCTGCTCCAACTGTATCGCGATTTGTTTGGTATCTCAACCGATTTGAATAGTCACGTATTTGAATCGATTTTCAACCGACTCGTGGTTCATTGTTACATTCCTAGAAAATCGCCTTTAAAGTTGTCCAAATGAAGTCCTTAGCAATGCATATTACTAATAAAAAATTAAGTTTTGATATATTTACGGTAGGAAATTTACAAAATATCTTTATGGAACATAAATACCTAATATCCTAATGATTTTTGGCATAAAAGAAAAATCGATAGTTTTGACCCATACAGTGTATTGTTGGCTATTGCTACAAATATAGCTGTACTACTTATGACTGCTTTTGTGTTCCAGGGTCACATATATGGTCTCCTGCTGTTCGGAACCTGAGTAGGCTGTTCAATTACGATTCGTAACGGAGTGAAATCGCAGTAATTGAGACGTGTGGGGTGTGGCTTTGTGTCCGCAGCTGCAGGACTTCGAGGAAGCGCTGACACAGAGGGATGAAATCATCACGCAGCTCACCTCTAATCTGCAGCAGGCGCGAACCGAGAAGGAGGAGGTGATGAGGGAGTTCCTGGAGCTGACGGAGCAAAGCCAGAAACTCCAGATTCAGTTCCAACAGGTATCAGACCTGCACTACGTATCGGTAGCATTTCTGTGTCATTATTAAAGCGGACGAAACTGAACTTTATTATCGCATTAGAACAGCTAACAGGAAACATCTTCAGCTATAACAATAACTGTAATGCTACTGTAATAATTATAGTGCTATGATAACGATAACTATAGTGATTGCTCTGATAGCAGTAATGAAAACTTTAATGAAAACACTTTAGCAATAGCTATAATAATAGTGTTATATATACTGTATTGACCCGAATATAAGACGATGGTGTTTTCTTGGAAATACATCTGAAAAAACGCGTCGTCTTATATTCAGGGTCTAGACTTTGACATGTCAATAATACACCCACAACAATAGGTGGCGCCAAATACGCATAAAACGAGTGTGCCATGAAACACGTAATGTAATGCGTGTTGTAAAGATCGCGAGTAAAAACAAAAGAATAAGAAAAGCTTATAGCTGCATGAGTCATGACTGTCACGTTAGCCTGATGGGACCAAACTCCCTTTGTGATTTTAAAACGTAAGACAGTTTTTAGCGATAACTATAGTGGTTACTCTAACAGTAACTATAGCGATAACTATATTGATTACTCTAATAGTAACTGCAGTGATAACTATAGTGGTTACTCTAACAGTAACTATAGCGATAACTATATTGATTACTCTAATAGTAACTGCAGTGATAACTATAGTGGTTACTCTAACAGTAACTATAGCGATAACTATATTGATTACTCTAATAGTAACTGCAGTGATAACTATAGTGGTTACTCTAACAGTAACTATAGCGATAACTATATTGATTACTCTAATAGTAACTGCAGTGATAACTATAGTGGTTACTCTAACAGTAACTATAGCGATAACTATATTGATTACTCTAATAGTAACTGCAGTGATAACTATAGTGGTTACTCTAACAGTAACTATAGCGATAACTATATTGATTACTCTAATAGTAACTGCAGTGATAACTATAGTGGTTACTCTAACAGTAACTATAGCGATAACTATAGTGATTACTCTAGTAGTAACTATAGCGATAACTGTAGTGATTAATAGTAACCATAGCGATAACTAATGATAAATCTATCAAAATTACTATAACTAGTTACTTTAAAGGTAATGTTAGCTGTAATGTTAACTATATTAGTATCCAAACTGTTAACCTTCTGCTGCAGTTTTGTCATCTGCCGCTTTAAATCCTCAAGCTCTGTAAAGTCACATACAGTGTGAAGCAGTAATTAGCTAAAACTTTTTGACTGATACTTTTATGTTGAAAGAAATCAATAGGCATAGTAATCAACATTTCTCTCACCTCGTCCACTGTTTTGGAGTTTTTTGAAGTTGTGTTTTATTTCTCTGATATCGTGACGCTCTGGATCTTCCCTCAGCTGCAGGCCGGTGAGATACTGCGGAGCTCCAACATCAGCTCCACCGCCGCAGATCTGCTCCAGGCCCGTCAGCAGATCACGCTGTACCAGCAACAGCTGGACGAGAGGGACGCACAGGTCAGAGGTCACCAGGAGAAGACGCAGGAGCAGCTCCTATTGATCACGCAGCTTCAGGAGAGTCTGAGTGAAGCCGTGAGGGTGAGTTCACTATAAAACAAGTCCGCCTACTCAACCCTAGGCAGCTGTTTCCAGTCATGCGATCCAGCGTCATAAGCTTTGCTCAAATCAAACCCTAAAAAATAGTATTGTTCAAGTTGATTGCTAATGCACAGGCATGTTTTCGCACTCGAGTTCTCATTAAAACAACCAAACAGACATCTTTAAGTGAACCGAGTGAAAGACCCTTGCTGAATAATTACAGATTCTGTGCTTATTATTTTTCCTCCATTGCTTATTATCTAAGGAATCAAATTAGGGCTGTCGATTTAATGAGTTAATTGACTGACTGAATGATGTAGCCCATTAGAATGCCCCTAAAATTCAAGATACGAGGACAAAAAATGACCCTCTTATATTTATATCGTAGTTTAGCAGTATCACACAAACAGCAGTGCTGTTCTTCCCAAATATCTACACGATTGCAAATGTGATATTGATTTTGTGCAACAGTTCAATAAACAAGAAGTTAATATTGCGTTACATTTTAGACACAATATTATCTGTTTTAGCTTAATTTTGCAAACGAAAATAGTTCCAAACAAAGCCATTGCAGAACTGTTGCATGTCTCCAAGCAGTTTCGTAACTAAATGAATTGGTTGAGTGAATGATTCAATGACTCACTTATTAATAGAGTGACTCTCTGCCACTTACTGGTGCTTTTAGTTTCTTATTTAGATTATCATTGCATTTTTTAAAAAACATTTTATATTTCAATATTAAATAAAAATACTTTATTATCATTATTTATGCCATGTTGAATCAAAACATTAGTTAATAAAGCTGCATTTTTGTAATGTCCATTCAATGCTTTTCTCAATTTAACACAATGACTTTAAATGATCTTTTGGGGGTGATTTCTCAGCCAGAATTGATGTGATTAATTTGCACAAGGGCTTTAATTGTCAATTTAATTTTTAATTGTCAGCACAAGGGCTGGGAAAATAAATCGATGCATCGCTAATCGAGAAATGATTCTGCATCGATTCTGAGATTTTCCGAATGCATCGCGATTCCTTCTCGAGTCGATTCTGAGCTTAGTTTTGAACAGCAGATGGCTTTGCATGCTTTAGAAACAGCTGTACTCCTCCATGTTATCCCCGTAAGAACGATATGATTGCCAGAACAAATTTACCGGGATTTTTGAAAAGGTTTTGTTCACGCTTAATGGTAATTTACCAGTGAAGACTGTATGCGTGAAAGAGGCTAAACTCTTCCTCTGCATATGCTGTGAAATTGATTTGCTTAACGTTCATCTGGGAAAACTGTGTGCATTATCTCACTAGATATGTAACGTAAATCATTTATAAACCTTTGCCAACACAGGAGAATACATCAACCTATTTCTAAATATGCCATTTATTGTACATCGCGATTTCAAAAAAAAAGTTTCTGAGTTTGCATGTGGCCAAATATAAAAATTTAATGGATTTAAACATCGTTTAATCATGCTGTAAAGTGAAACGTCACCAGGCTGTTGGAGCCCTCTGCAGGTATTTGTTATAATACATAATGTACTTAAGTTGGTTATGTTCATTATGTATAGGAATATTACATTATGTAGCCTATTTGAACAGTGTTGTTCAATAAAACCATGTAATTACTTGGTTTTGATATTTTATTTGAGCCGATTATTGCCATAGTATCCTTTCAAATGTTAAAGTTGCCACAGTCATTGCATGCAACCCCCCCCCCCCCCCCCCGGAAAAAAGTTCAGGCTCAGGATTTTATTTATTTTTTTAACCCCTGATCGATTTATCGTCGCAGCCCTAGTCGGCACATTGTGCAATTAATTAGATTAAAAAATGCACTTGCTTGACAGCAATAAAAAGCTTGTTTAAACAAAAAATGTGCTTTTATCTGTCATCAGGTCCGCACACAAGCTGAAGAATCGTTTGCTCAGAGTTTACGAGAAAAGGACTTGCTGAATACCGAACATCAGCGTCTAATAACACAGCTTCAGGATCAGCTTCTGACTTCCAAACAGCAAGTGGAGGAAATCAACAAACATCTGTCTGCGAAAACCCAAGAACTAGACAGCTGCGAAAAAGAGCTCTCCGCGTCCAGACAGAAAGAGCGCATGTCGTCCGGAGAAATCCTGCAGCTCATGAAAACCGTCGAGGACCTCCAGCAGCGCTGCCACCAGGGAGGCCAGTCGGAGAGCGAGACGCTCCGGAGAATCGAGGACGACTGGAGCCGACCGATGGAGCAGCTGCGAGCCGAACTGGACGAAATGTATGGTCAGCAGATCGTGCAGATGAAGCAGGAGCTTCGCACGCAACACGCGACGGAGGTGGAGCGAATCCGAGCGCAGCATTGCTCGGAAACCGAGAAGATCGTCCAGCAGCATCAGTCAGAGCTGGAGAGGTTTAAAGCTCAGCTGTTCCAGAGCGCCGGAGGCGTTAACGTGCTAAACGTGAAGCTCATCGAGCTCCAGCAGAAGCTGCAGGAGACGCAAGTGTTGCGCGAAAAGGCGGAGCAGGAGCTAACGCAGGCGAGCGCAGAAAAACTCGGCCTGGCGCAGGAGGTGGAGCGTTTGCGCGACGAGCTGCAAAGAGCGGAAATACAGAGCCCAGAGAAAATGCAACATGCTATTAGCAACCTGCGGGCGCAGCTCGATTTGGCACACAAAGCCAATGGCGAACTAGAAGCCAAGCACGAATCAGAAATCACCAACTATAAGATCAAACTCGACATGCTGCAGCGGGAGAAAGACGCGGTGCTGGACCGCATGGCCGAATCGCAGGAGTCGGAGCTGGAACGCCTGCGAACGCAGCTCTTGTTTAGCCACGAGGAGGAGCTCTCCCGACTTCGCGACGACCTCCAACGGGAAAGCCAGCTGAATGTGGAGAACCTGCGCGACGAGTTGGGCGTGAGGCACCGCGAGGCTTTGGACGGTTTCGAGGACAAGCTGCGGTCGGTGGAGCGAGAGAGGGTGGCGCTGGCGGCGGAGAGACTCGTGCTGCTCGAGGAGATCGTAGCATTGAAAAACGACCTGAATCGGGCGACGGAAAGCGTGAGAGCTGAGGAGATGGTCGCGCAGCTGAAGGAGCTGCAGGCGGAAGTCGGAAGCGAAGAAAAAGACTTGCATGCAACCGCAAGGGATGAGCTGACAGCGCTGAAGAACGAGCGCGAAAACCTCCTGCAGAAAATCGCCCGCCTTTCCTCGGACAACGAACAGATGTGTGCGCGACTGAAAGAGCTTCGGGAGGAGACTGAAAAGCAGAAAAACACGTTCTCCTTCGCTGAGAAGAACTTCGAGGTGAACTACCAGGAGCTGAAAGACGAGTACACATGCCTGGTGAACGCTAAACTACAGCTAGAGCAGCGCTTGGTCAGAGAAGCCATGGAATATGAGACCAAACTCAGAGATCTGCAAATGAGACACGAGGAGGTGGATGGGAAGACGCCAATTGAAAAAGACTCTTCTGAGCTGATGGAGAAGCTGGAGACGGCTGAGAGCGAGAAGAAGAGCTTAGCGGAGCGTCTCTCGATGATGCAAACGGAGCTGGAGATGCTGAAGAGAGACAGAGACGAAGAGCTCTTCGACTGCAGCGTTGCTGGTGGGCTGTGCTCAGTGGAGACACATCACGGTCACATCAGATCTTTGCGGGAGGAACTGGATGCCTTGCAAGACGAGGAGCGCCTCGAAGCAGTGCAGCCGCAGCCACAGGAGGGGAGGGAGAGAGAGACGCCTGCGAGTACTCCAGCGCGCCGGCTCGCTTTACACACACACACAGCAGCAGCAGCAGCAGCAGCGCATGAGGATCAGCTCTCAGCGCCCAACAGACTCCCACAGCAGGTAAGAGCCGCTGCTAACGTGTGACGAATCTGCGTTTGTTTATGTCGACTACTGAACTCGCGATGCAACAGTTGGCCTGCGTTTATCGTGTGTGTGAGTGTGTGTGTGTGTGAGTGTGTGTGTGTGTGAGTGTGTGTGTGTGTGTGAGTGGTGTGTGTGAGTGTGTGGTGTATGTGAGTGTGTTTGTGTGAGTGTGTGGTGTGTGTGGTGTGTGTGTGTAGGGCTCATATGAACGCTTTTGTTAGACTCACAAGGCGTCAGTGTTATTTTAGTGTCATTGAGATGCTGTTATATTTTTTATTAATATTTTGAATTAGTTTTTATTTTTAGATTTTCAGTTATTTTCAATTTAGCTCATTTTATTTTTATTTTTTGTCAATTTTATAGTTTTTTGTAAATTTGTCTATACTTTTTATTAATTTTATTTCAGTTGTTCAAGTTAAACTAAACAAAAATGAAATATGTTGCCTTGGCAACTAGCTGAAATAAAATAAGTTTGTTTTTGTATTTTATTTCTGTTGTTGTTTTTTTAAGTAAAGAATTTAAGTTTTTTTTTATTTATTTATTTTATATTACTATAATAAACAGTTATTATTAGTAGTAGTAGTAGTTTTTGTTAGTTTAGATTAGTATAATAAAAGTTTGTATGGTTTTTGTTTAGTATAATAAACTAAAAAAAAATACATTTTAGTGTAATAAAGTAAATTGTTTATGGATTAGTTATAATAAAGTTATGATATGGATTAGTTTAATAAACTAAATAAATTTTTATGATTTTAGCTTCAGATTAGTAAATAAAGTAAAGTAAGTAAACTAAATAAATGTTAGTATAAATAACTAAAACGTTTATAGTTTTAGATTAGTATTATAAACTGAATAAATTGTATTATTATTAACTAAATGAACTTTGATGGTTTTAGTTTAGTTTTAGGCACCAAACAGATACTAACTGCAGAAATACTGACTGTTTCCAAACAATCCTACTGTCAGGTCATTGGTCAGTCAATCAGATAGTCCCGCCCCCAGTCTCACGCCATTGGTTGAGCATGAAGTTGTCATTTCAGGCCAATCAAACTAAACAAACGTTTTAAAAGCATAGTGTTTTTTCACTCTTTAGGATGCAAAAATACCAGATGATTTTTTTATTTGGATGAACCTTAAAACTATCTCATGGAAACAAATCTTAATGGTCCTAAAACAGGCTTAGTTGCTTTTATGAAATATATTGTTTTATTTTATTTTTGATTAAAAAAAAACAACTTTATTTGGATTTGTTTAATTTTCATTAAAATAATGGAAGTACAAATATTACCATAATGGAAAAATTATTTACAGTGTAGATAACTTAATTATTTTTCACATTAGTGTTATGAGAATAAGAGGATATTTAATCATCATAAAAATAATGCCTCTGTAACAAATCATAATGGTCCAAAATCCGGCTTTGCTGCTAAAATATTGTATTTTATTTATTCAAAAATTTTTAATATTTAAATTATTATTTTTATTTTTTTAAATGATTAATTACATTTTTTTTATCTTATTTTGAAGTCGGTAGTACGATCCAGACATGTTCTTTGCAGTTTCGTGACACAATATTCTTGTTTTTCAGATAATTTCCCACCATCTCTCTGATCCTTTATCCTTAAATAACGGGCTAATTTTGTAGCAGACCTTTTGTTTGATATTATTTAGCCTTGATTTGGGGCATGTTTTTGCTGATGGCCTCTGATGTATTCTAGCCTCAGAAAGTTCTCGTTTAAACACAGAGGAATGTCTCTCTGTCCGTCTGCAGGAGGAGTGTCGTCTGCAGCTGGAGGCTCAGCGCATCAGTCTGTCTCAGATCCACGCCGCTCACCTGGAGCTGCTCCGAGAGAGTCTGTGTGCGCAGACGCAGGAGGAGAGGAGGAGAGAGAACGGTCATCCCGCAGGTCACATCAAACGCTCTTTCAGATCCATTATTAAGAGATCCATCAGCATGAAAGAGAGAGGCACTGTCAAACGGCTCACTTACTCTGTGCTCATACCCAGAGATTATTTATGTCATGGCTGCTAACCGATGTGATAGTTAGGATTGAATGCAGTCCCAAAATGATTGATTGAATTGAAAAAACGAATGATTGAATTCCCGAACGTTTTTGTCAGCCGAACACCTTTGAACTAAAAAAATAAGCGTTAAGTAATTTAACAGCACGTTCACATGTTGCAGTGTGAAGCCTGTAAACAGTGGCAGGATTTCCTCACGTGTTTCTCCTGTTCCTGCAGAGCTCATGGCAGAGTCTGAGGAGTGCTCTGCGCGTCTGGAGATCGAGCGGCTGAAGAGCGACTATCAGCAGCAGATGGAGGAGACGCAGGAACGCTTCAAGGCCGAGGTCCTCCTGCTGCAGAGGAGACTCCAGGAGCTCACAGGAGCCGGCGAGATCTTCAGGTGACTAACCTTAAATCTAATATCACACCACATAGAAACAAGTGCTTTACATCCATTCGTGTTTGTCCCAGCCAGCTACGCTACTGGCCATAAGTTTGGAATAATAAAATTTTTTTCATCTGACCCAGAGGGAGCATGTAGATTAAAAACAAAAGTGGACCAAGAACAGATCCTTGAGGCACTCCACGGGAAGAAGTGACAGTATGACACTTGTTTAATATGAATTGTTTTCCCTTTTTTCCCCAAAGATAACATGGTCAAATTCACAGGGCTTTTTAGATGAATACATGTTTTTGATAGAGTCTCTTCTGCTCACCAAGGCTACACTTATTTATTCAAAAATACAGTAAAAACTGTAAAATATTTTTAGCATTGATAATAATCAGAAATGTTTCTTGAGCAGCAAAGCAGGCAGACGCAGGAGGAGAGGAGGAGAGAGAACGGTCATCCCGCAGGTCACATCAAACGCTCTTTCAGATCCATTATTAAGAGATCCATCAGCATGAAAGAGAGAGGCACTGTCAAACGGCTCACTTACTCTGTGCTCATACCCAGAGATTATTTATGTCATGGCTGCTAACCGATGTGATAGTTAGGATTGAATGCAGTCCCAAAATGATTGATTGAATTGAAAAAACGAATGATTGAATTCCCGAACGTTTTTGTCAGCCGAACACCTTTGAACTAAAAAAATAAGCGTTAAGTAATTTAACAGCACGTTCACATGTTGCAGTGTGAAGCCTGTAAACAGTGGCAGGATTTCCTCACGTGTTTCTCCTGTTCCTGCAGAGCTCATGGCAGAGTCTGAGGAGTGCTCTGCGCGTCTGGAGATCGAGCGGCTGAAGAGCGACTATCAGCAGCAGATGGAGGAGACGCAGGAACGCTTCAAGGCCGAGGTCCTCCTGCTGCAGAGGAGACTCCAGGAGCTCACAGGAGCCGGCGAGATCTTCAGGTGACTAACCTTAAATCTAATATCACACCACATAGAAACAAGTGCTTTACATCCATTCGTGTTTGTCCCAGCCAGCTACGCTACTGGCCATAAGTTTGGAATAATAAAATTTTTTTCATCTGACCCAGAGGGAGCATGTAGATTAAAAACAAAAGTGGACCAAGAACAGATCCTTGAGGCACTCCACGGGAAGAAGTGACAGTATGACACTTGTTTAATATGAATTGTTTTCCCTTTTTTCCCCAAAGATAACATGGTCAAATTCACAGGGCTTTTTAGATGAATACATGTTTTTGATAGAGTCTCTTCTGCTCACCAAGGCTACACTTATTTATTCAAAAATACAGTAAAAACTGTAAAATATTTTTAGCATTGATAATAATCAGAAATGTTTCTTGAGCAGCAAAGCAGCATATTAGAATGATTTCTGAAGATCATGTGACACTGAAGACTGGAGTAATGATGCTGAAAATACAGCTGCACATCACAGAAATAAATTACACTTTAACAGATATTCACATAGAAAACAGATATTTTACGTCGTAATAATATTTCACTATTTTTACAGTGCGCTTGATCAAATAGGCAAACCAAAAATTATTCAGACTCCAGATATAATTTTTGATATTTTTTTACTAGTGGGTGTAGGACACTAGTTCATTTATGTAAATGAGGATAGCAGAATAAAGTAAACTGAGACATATTATACCCAAACATTCTTCATACAGTGGACTACCAGTAACATTTGGGATCAAAAATGATTCAAACACTTTGACTTGAGCATGTTTTGCTTAAGTGTTTTTTCTTTAATTGCTAATGCGATCTTTTTACACCACAAACTGAACAGAATGAAGCACTGCTTGGTAATTAGTTGAGCTAAATTGGTTTTATCTAATTGTGTATTAAATTTAACAGCTGACAGCTGTTCAACCGAATTCATTACATACCTTTCTATCAAAGTTATCTGACATTATCAAGATGAATTTGTTCTGACACAGTTCAACTCTTGAGTTCTTGTCATATTTTATTACCATTTTCTAAACCAGTGGTTCTCAAACTGGGGGTATGTGAGATGACGGTGGGGGGTATGTGAACAAAATTCTGAGTTTTGGCATTCATTTAATACCCCAACTTAAAGCAACATTAAAACCGAGCGTATTTCTGACAAGCAAAATGCCGCTTCTAATGTAAAAACAGGAAAATGGGAGTGCAGTAAACGGTCAAATACATGATATCCAATCAGCTTACCTCATTTTTTGCGGTCAAAACTGACTGCATCCACACAAGGATGCATGTGATAGGATGGCCGCTTAATATGCTGCTTTAGCAAATCACACTGCTGTTCAATGTATCTTTAAAGTAGATCTTCACTTAATAGCATGAAGAGCAAATATTGACACGCACTGTACATTGAGATCGATTTAAACTCTCTTCGACACAGACACACTCTGTGCATGTTATTGTTTTCATGTTTAAGATACGAGCAAGAATGCAAATTATCCAAACGATGGCAAATGTGCCATTTAATTTTTACAACAGTTCAACAGAAAAGGTAATATTAAGTGAACATTTTACATTTTAAATGTAGCCTACATTTTGAACAGAATATTGTCATGTTTGTTCTATTTTGCAACGAAATAATAATAGTTCCAACGAAATCCGTATCATCTGGTGTGTGTCTCCAAGCATCCTACAGCGGTGTTTCGTTAGTGAACGAATCTGCGGCTTTGAATGATTTGGAGAGTCAGTGATTAATAACCCATTCATAACTACAGCATTTTGCTTCATTACTGAATGAATGAATGACGCGACGCCTGGCTCATTAAGACAGTGACTTTCCGCCACCTATTGACTGTTTTATTTTTAAATCTACAAGTATCACTTCTATTTGCCATCATTTATTGCTTTATTATATTAATAATACACTTAATGAAATGTTAAGAATATGACATAAAACATGACATACAATTAATAAGGATAGAAAATATTTGCCTTTATAAAGGTAAAAAATGCACCTGTAAATCAATTTAAGGGTGCAAATAATGTCCTTTAATAGAAAAAAAGTGGAAGAGAGGGGTACGCAGAAGAATGTTAAATGCCCAGGGGGTACGCCGCTGTAAAAAGTTTGAGAACTACTGTTCTAAACTATAGCAAATAAACTGTGATATAATGTGAGAAATGTTGAAGGTGTCTGAATACATTTTGGTTTGACTGTAAAATAGCAGAAAAGTCTAATTCTGCTTTTGATGTTTCAGATCGTTAGATAAATGATTGCACAGTACCAGTGCAATGCCTCAAGTCATTTATTAATTTACCCTCCGCTTAATGTTGGTCATATTTAGTAAATATTCGTCAATGGCTGGTTCTATACAACTGAATAATTGTTATTAGCTAAACCAGGCTTTCCCAAAACTAGGGTTTCATGAGTTGATGGAAAATACTGGGATGAAAGTTTGTAGTTCGGATATAAACACTGATGTCTATGGTAGTGATCAAAATCGAGCAAATCACCTTTTAAAAGTAACTGGTGCTTCAAATAAGGTTTGTGTCGATTGCGTTGGCAACAAGGGACTGTTAAAAAATTTATTTGTCATTGATTCATTCATTCAAGAGATTCGTTCAAAAACACTGATTCACCCAGTAATGAAGTGAAGTATTCATGAGTGAGTCATTGAATCATTCATTCAAACCAATTTTTCATAATTTTAATATTAAAAATTGCTTTTTTAAATATATTATATTTTAAATATATATTTTATATATATATAACATTTTAACAATTACAAATTAAATTAATTAAACACTTTTAAACTGACTGCAGGAATTCATATTTTGTCAGCCTTTTGTAAATTACGCATTTATTTGTTAACTTCAGAATCGTGATCTGAGCGAAACACGTTTTGTGATACGTGTTCCTTTAATGATGCTATTGTTGCTTTAATTAAAGTCACGTTTCTTTCAGTCGCTCCGCTGAGCGTTTTTAATCAAGCCTCGTAACTTTTTTCATTTGCTGTCAGACTAACTTTTACACAGAGGCTGATAACACAAGGCCTCTCGGGCTATAATTCAGCCCTGTGTGTGTGAGTGAGTGTGTCTGTGCGTGTGTGTGTGTTTGAGTGAGTGTGTCTGTGTGAGTGAGTGAGTGAGTGAGT